TTATTTGAATTAATAGATATTGTGATTAATAGAAAGATAAATATTCTATGCATTTACAAAACTAAATGAGTTGGACAGAATGCTAAGGAGATTGATAGTTTAAGGTTTATACTAGAAATGTAGGTGTGACTATAAATAAGAGTTTGAAGGATAATGTTGTAGAAATTAATAGAATTAGAGATATAATTATAGATTTAAAGATTGTTGTTGATGCTAAGATTATTAATATTATAAGTGCTTATGCTCCTTAAGTAGGCTTGAATTTGCATTCAAAATTAAAATTTTGAAATGATTTAGAAGAATTAATACAAAAGATGTATCTTAAAGAAAGAGTTTTTATTGAAATAGATTTAAATGGGCATATTAGTAGAGAGGTAGACTATTTTAAAAGCATTCATGATGGTCATGAGTTTGGAGCGAATAATGATGGTGATATGACCATATTAGGATTTTCTCTAATATATGATTTTATAATTGCTAACATCTTATTTAAGAAAAGAGGAGTATCTCATCACTTATAAGACTGGATATAATAAAACTCAGATTGATTATTTTCTTATAAGAAAAATAGATTGTTTAGATTGCAAAGATTGTAAATTTATTCCGAGTGAAAATTTATATACCCAACATTATTTATTAATTTTGGACTTTAAGATGGAGCATAATATGAAAAATAAGTGTTGTCTTAGGCTTAGATAGGAGCATTTTAAGAACACTAATAAAAATATTTTTGAGAATAAGATTCAAGATCTTAATATTCTGATTGTACATGAGGAAGTTAATGTTATGTGGGAAAAAATAGGTAATGATATCAAGAATGTTGCAAATGAAGTGTTTGAAGTACCAAAATAAAAAGCTCATAATAGTAAAAATAATTGGTAGTGGAATCAAAATGTACAAAAAAAGATAAAAAAATAAGAAGTTTAATTATAAAAATCTGTTTAGATGTAAAAACTCGAAGAATTGGGAAAGATATATAGATGCCCATAAAGAGTTTATAAAAATATTATATGATGCAAAGAATTTGGCTTTTAATGATTTATATAATTGATTAGATACTAAGGAGAATGAAAGATGTATGTATAAGTTAGCTAAGTAAAGAGATATAAGAAGTAAGGATTTAGTTACATTGAAGTGTATTAAGGATGGAGATAAAAAAAATATTTTCATTATAAGAGAATATTCAACAAAGTTGGATGTGATATTTTGCTAAACTTTTCAATGAAAATTATGAGAATATGATTAACTTTAGTGTCCTTAGCATCCTAAATGAAAATAGAATATTTTGTTTTTATCGACGTATTAGTAAAACCAAAGTTAGAGATACTTTAAAGAAAATAAAGTGTGAAAAAACTGTTGGACATGATGCTATTTTGATAGAGGTGTGGAAATGCTTATGAGATGAAGGAATTTCTTGGCTTATGAAAATTTTTAATATTATTTTGAAGAAGAAAAAGATATTAGATGAATGAATTGTCTTGATTTCTATTTTTGAGAATAAAGGTGTTGTACAAGAGTGTGCAATTATTGAGGAATTAAGTTAATGTGTCATATTTTAAAATTATGAGAGAGAGTTATTGACCATAGGTTATGATGTAATACTAATGTTTCTCAAAATCAATTTGGATTCATATTGGGTATGTCTACTATGGAAGCTATACTTTTAATTAGAGGTTTGATGGAGAAGTATACAGAGAATATGGAGGATCTACTTATAATATTTATTAATTTAGAGAAAGCTTTATGATAAAGTTCCAAGAGAAGTGCTATGAAGAGTTTTAGAAAAGAAAGTGGATAATAATGCTTTTACTCAAATCATTAATGGTATGATGCAGGAGTTGTTGCTTGTGTTTGGTGTTTTGGCCAAGTATTTCCTATTTTAATTGGATTATATTTAGGATCAACTTTAAGCCCATATTTTTTTTGCTTTAGTCATGGATGTTCTTACGAGACATTTGTAAGCAGATGTACCATGGTGTATGCTTTTTGGTGATGATATTCTTCTTGTTGATAAGACTAGAGAGTGAGTTGAAGGTATACGTTAATTGTGGATGTCAACCTTAGACTCTAAAGGTTTTCGTTTAAGTATCTAAAACTGAATACATGGAATGTAATTTTAGTGGTAATAGATCTAGTGGGGGATTGTGACTTTGGGTGATAAAGTCATTAATAAGAGTACACAATTTAGATATCTCGGGTGTATTGTCTAGAGTGGTTGTGAAATAGATGGTGATATTTTTAGTAGAATTGAAGTTTGATGGTTGAAGTGGAGGAATGCATCGGGTCTATTGTGTGATAGAAAAGTACCCCTTAAACTTAAAGGAAAATTTTAGAAGATGGTGGTGAGACCTGCAATGCTTTACGATGCAAAATGTTGGCCATTAAAATAGAAGCATGAAATTAAGTTAAGTGTTGCAAATATGAGGATGCTTAGGTGAATGAGTTGCTTTACTCTTAGACACAGAATGCGAAACGAGCATATACCTGAAAACATTGTAGTAGCTCCAGTGGCAGATAAGATTAGAGAGAGTTGCCTTAGATGGTTTGGTCACATAAAACATCAGCTTCCAATGACCTGATTAGGAGTGTAGATGTATTAGATTTGACTTATGTTAAGAAATGTAGATGTAGACCTAAAATGACTTGTTAGAAAATATTAGAAATACATTTTCTTATTAGATTTAAATCAAAATTTGACTCTTAGTAGGATACAATGGAGAAAAAAGATTCATGTAGTCGACCCCAAATAGTGGGATTAAGGCTTGATGTTGATGTTGTTCTTATTGTAAATTTAATTAAAATAAAAAATATGCCACCTTAAGCTGTATCGTATAACACATTTTGTTTACTAGCTCTCTTGGCTCTCATAACAACTAGGGGTGTCAATTATTGACCCGACTCGAAAAATTCGGATTTAGGTTGACCCATTTAACAAACAGGTTGGGTTCAGGTTCCATATTTTAACCCGTTTGAAAAATCAGGTCAGGTTTGGGTTAATTTGCTAACCCAAAATTGACCTGTCCCGCGCGACCCACCCTCCTGCAAGTCCCGCCTACGCGTCTGACCTATTTTTTAGCATGCGTCGTGGTCTCGCAGCTTGCGTGTGACCTGCCTTGGCGTCCTCTCCTCAAGTGTGAGGCTTGCCTTCAGCTCGTGCGTGATGTGCACCTGGGTCAGTCTTGTAGGTACAGGTTGCGAATTTGAGGCGGGTCGGATCTGAGTTCAAATTTCTGACCCATTTGTGCAATCGGTTCGGGTTGGATCAATCGAGGGCGGGTCAGTTTCGGGTTGGACCCGAAGCTGACCCAAATATCCATTTTTACAGCCCTAATAACAACCAAAGCACTCCTAGAATCCATCTTAGCATCACTAAATAAGCTATACTTTGCATCATTTGGAGCAATAACCATATTAGATTCTTGTTGATATCAGGTACATTCCTAACTTCAACCAAAGCCCTATTCTTATCATAATACATCCTAAAATATTATGCCAAAATTAACATTCTTAGATGCAATGTTATTTCTCATGTACACTTAACTTTCACGCTATTCATAACTAGAAAATGAAATCTTATATGAATAGATATGATATGAACAAGTTGATTCAAGAACCACTAATCACTTGTATCTGAGTCCTACAGTATTAAAGAAAGTCACTATAATCTATATCAAACTAATGTGTCTCCATATCCATACCTGCTTGGTTCTCTTCTTTATGGTCATTGCCTTTCTGCCAATTCTCCCTCTTAAATATCTAGAAATTCCAATTGTTGCGCTCGAATTTCTTAGAGTATAAGCAAATCCTGTTCTTACCAACAAACCTATCTCTATATTGATTAGAAGTAGTTCCCTTCTTAAAAGGTATTTTCCTAATAAGTAACCATCAATCTACTTCTCTTCTTTAACACTCAAGTTCATAAACTTTATCCTTTGTTAGTAGTAAGCTCTTTAAATTCTCAAAATGAATTTTCCTAATAAGTCTGCTTCTCTTCTTTGTTTTTTTTTCTCTTCTTTAACACAAGTTCATAAGCTTTATCCTTTGTGAGTAGTAAGCTCTTTACATTCTCTAAGTTAATTATGTTTCTTTTATGCAACTTGATATCTCAAAAATGTTTGTGATAGAGTTAAATAGCACAATAATGAGAGAGCTTGATTCCCATTGCCAATAGTCACATTAATATTTCTTAAATTATGCATTTGAAATATGTGACTTAATAGGCTTACCTTTATGCATTTGAAATAAATAAAGTCTTTGCTGTCTTTTCTATTGATAAAGTTTGTTGGAGAGGATTTTGATCTAAGTATAAAGACTCTAAATTAAGCTACAACCCTTGCGTGATTGTTACCTCTAAAACTTTTTTCATGACATAGTTTGCCAAACCCAGTTGGGTTTTTGATGGGGTCCTTTTCAACCATTTGTGCATTGTCTTTTTCATTTATCGCCATAGGTATATTTGAATTCCTTATGAGAGCCTTTACAAATCTGTGTTAAATGTAAAGACCATGCATCTTCGTTTTTGAAAGGGTGGCTTTTCAAGCCGTCAAATTTCTTGATCACAAACTTCAAGATTATCACACTCCAAACTATGCTTTGATACGAATTGTTAGGGAGTATGTACACATAAGGGGACTGAAATTGGGCTAGATAGATTAGATGTCAATCTCATTTTTCAGCTTAAAATCATATGTGAGGCTCAATAATTTGGTGCTTTTTTTTGGCCAACATATTCTAACTATTTGATATGAGGCTAAACCAAATACTCTTACCTTAACAATATTCCTCTCACGTGAGAGCTTCTATATTAGCTTTCACTCAAAAAAGCTTTTTACTCTATCAAGTGTCATGCATCAAGAGTCAACTTAACCAAAAATATTCCTCAAGGAAGCACCCTTGGTGGAGGGTTTTTTCATTTTGGCATATTTGTTATCAAACTTGATTTTGTGATTTGTTGTATTACAGTTGATTTCTCTGAAATTAACTATTATAGGTTTATGCAGCATGTCTTCAAAATGGAGCAGGAAGAGTACACGAAAGAAGAAATAAACTGGAGCTACATTGAGTTTATAGATAACCAAGACGTGCTAGACTTGATTGAGAAGGTATATTAAGCTGTTTTTCTGAATGATAGAAGTTGTAACTGTATTGGAATCAGTATCAAGAAGAAATTTGAATTTTTATCACAATTCTATTCATTTTCTTGAAATTTCTAATTTGTGATTTTTGTTCCTGGTAGGGCCAACTTACTTTTGGAAGTTAGTTTTAAAACGAGAAATAATGCATTCAAACTGAGCAGTGTAGCAATGTCATGATTCTGAGATTTGTAATTGTATAATCGAGAACTGCAGATCGTTCTTAAAGGTCATTATGCTGGTTTCCCTTGTTTAAGTGGAAAAAGTGTGGAAATAATTTCGTTTATGTAAAATGATGTCATAATTGAATGCTAATGGGTTACTGAAATATTGACCTCTTTGTGTATTAAGGATCAATTTTAACCTATTGATGATTAGTGTGAGTTTGTAATAGGGAATCACCAAAGTTTAACACTTGGGCAGTGCATAACTTAATTCACTCTCCCATCATTTTCATTGCGTTGACATGATTTGCTCTGAGTTCATCAGTGCAACTTTATACCCACTAAACTTTCTAGACATAGCACAGTTGTGATGTCAGGATAAATGGCATTTTCTTTCCTATCATGATGTACCATTGTGCCCTGGATATATATATATTGATTCAGCTTTTTGAAATTATTATTCTGATATTGATGTATAACGTGTTTAATAGCAGGTAATCAATCTTCTCACTGGACTAGTTTTTGAAACATTCATAGCTGTTCATCTTCATAAAGAAACTTACAATTAGGCATAGATACGTGTTCTTTTATCATATATGCATTCCAATTAGCACCCATGGATTTTGTTTATTTGAAATTCTCTATCATTATTATTTTGTAGCCAGGAGCAGATATCTGTTGTTTTTGTTTTCACTGCCTGTTTTTTAGTATCCTGCTACCAGCCCATTTTGTTGATCATATATGGGATAACACACCATTTTGTTCCCCATAAGTTACGTTAGTTTTTGTTATCTTGCCTCTGGCGTTACATTAGCCCAATGTTACAAATTGTAAGAACCACCTTCATGTCTCATCTTATTTTTTTGAATGAATGCTGCTTTGATGATATTTGCTCATTTAAGTTTATAGATATTATTCTCATTAATGAATTTGCATCTATTGTATTAGTCATGGTGAACCTCAATTCATCAATCTATGTTGAAATTAGTTGCTACGTAGCTTTATAGAGATGTAAAACCTACAAATTTGTTTATTTAAAATTTAACCAAACCTTTACCTTGTTGGCAGAAACCTGGTGGTATCATAGCACTTCTTGATGAAGCCTGGTAAGTGTTTTTTCTGTATATATCTTGTTTAAGTAAATTACTCCGAGTTCTAATTGGTATTCTTTCGTAAATTTAAGATACTTAATATTTTGCTGTGTAAAACCAATGCTTATCCCGTTTGGATGGTTCATGCAGCATGTTTCCTAGGTCAACTCATGAAACATTTGCTCAAAAGTTATATCAAACTTTTAAAAATAACAAGCGTTTTTTGAAGCCGAAGCTGTCCCGCACAGATTTTACAATATGTCATTATGCTGGGGAGGTACCTATCATTTCTGCCAGTATTTTTGTTACGATTGTTTTTTAATAAACTTTTAATAATTTTTCCTGTAGGTAGCATATCAAGCTGATCATTTCTTAGACAAGAACAAAGACTATGTGGTAGCAGAACATCAGGATTTGTTAAGTCCTTCAAAATGCCCTTTTGTTGCGGGGTTATTTCCAGCTCTTCCTGAAGAAACATCGAAATCCTCCAAATTTTCTTCCATTGGATCACGTTTTAAGGTAGAACTTCTAATAACTCTTTAAATCGTTTGAATTTATCTAAAAACAACTCTTCAGCTGAAGTATACCGAAATACAGTCTTTTTCTCACTGAAGTATACTGTCTATTTTTAGACTTTTGGCTATTTATTTTTCAACCAACACTAGCATTGTGGTGGTGGAATACTGGAGAGCATTTCTTAAGATGGTTGGAAATTGTGAAGCTCCCCTGTTCTTTAACTACTTAAAGAATAATCACATAAGTATTATTTCTCATTGTTGAGGTGTAGCGCATGTCTTCTCGCCACTCTTGAAATATATTATTGGGAAAGAAGGTTCAACTTTAGGTCTCATGTTAATTGTATTGACATAGTTCCTATGGTGATTATATTGGTCATGGTAACATATAAGAGATGCATCTTTCAGGTTTATAAATTTGTTGTAGATACAATTTTCTTAGTTGTATGCAAAGTCGCTACAATTCAATTCATGCGAGTGACATATCTGACGTTAAAAATTTTGCATACTCATCTCACTAGAAACTGAATTGTCATTGCAGGCGTTGTTGTATACTTAGAACGAGACATGCCTTTGAAGCTCATTTTAGAAGGCTAAAAATCATTCGTATCAAACAAGAGGCAGTAAATGAACATTTTAAATGTTAATGATATTGCTAATGTGGATTTTCTACGATGATACTGTGGATAAATTGTAAAATTTATTCATAAGAGAGCTTCTTCATAAGTAGGTGGATTCTTGGCGCCTTATTTCAGAAGAACTCTAAATTGAGACCATTAAATTCTATAATATGGTAGTGAGGCCTGCAATGCTTTATGGTGCTGAATGTTGGCCATTAAAAGAGAAGCATAATACTAAGTTAAGTGTGGCAGAGATGAGGATGCTCAGGTGGATGAGTGGCTTTACCCTTAGAGATAGGATACGAAATGAGCATATACGTGAAAAGGTTGGAGTAGCTCCAGTAGAAGATAAGATTAGAGAGAGTCGCCTTAGATGGTTTGGTCGCATAAAATGACAGCCTTCCAATGACCCGGTTAGGAGAGTAGAGGTATTAGATTTGACTTATGTTAAGAAAGGTAGAGGCAGACCTAAAAAGACTTGGTTAGAAAATATGAGGAATGACCTTTCTTTATTAGATTTAAACGAGAATTTGACCTTTAATAGGACACAATGGAGAAAAAAGATTCATGTAGCCGACCCCATGTAGTGGGATAAAGGCTTGATGTTGTTGTTGTTGTTGTCTAAATTGAGACGGTCTGGACTTGCATGGTATGAACGCGGATTTCAAAGCATTGGAAATGCATTAGCGAGGCAATGGGATGGAATTAATTTTGAGGACTAGGGAGGAAGTAATTGATCATAAAATTACTTCTTTACAGCTTGTTTAAAAAGATTTAGTAAAATTGAACAAGAAATTTAAATTTAAGAATTGATGGGAAATAAGGATATGTGAATAGATCTAAAATGGTTGGGATTATTTTGTTTATTCTGTTCGTATCTAGCCACCCTTTACTGTAATAGTTTTTTTTTATCAGTTTTAGTTATCTTAAGTATCATTTATTAGATTTCACTTGGGATCTCGAGAGCAGGTGACATTTCTTCTTATAGAGCACTGTAAAGTTGTCTTCTTTAAGCATCTCATTGCATATGTTTGACATTTTCTTGTTTTAGTTGTGCACACTTTATATGTGAATGTTTTAAGTGCATCTCCTAGCAGTTAGGTTTTTTTGTTGCTTCACTTATTAAAATTGTACTTCATATTTTTTTATTAAATAGTATGATTTAGTTTTATTCTTGAGAATGTTATTTTGATGATGCTTCTTTTTTAACGAATTATTTTATTGTTTTTTTGCAAAATTTCCTACAGCTTCAACTACAAGCACTGATGGAAACCTTAAGCTCAACGGAGCCTCATTACATCAGATGTGTGAAGCCCAACAATACCCTTAAACCTTCAATCTTTGAGAACATGAATGTTATTCAACAGCTACGTTGTGGTGTAAGCATTATTTCATGATTGGTTAACGCATGGTTACATATTTTAACTAAAACTGAATTGTTTAACACGTTTCAAAATACATGCCTGTAGGGTGTACTTGAGGCAATTAGGATCAGCTGTGCTGGATATCCAACTAGAAAGACATTTTATGAATTCCTACATCGTTTTAGTGTTCTTTCCCCTGAAGTTTTAGATGGGAAGTAAGTTCTTTGCTGATGAACTAAGTTGTTATACTTGTATTGACATATCAGATACTAGTATATTTATAAGGAACTTTTTTTTTCTTGATAGCTCTGATGACAAGGTTGCATGCCAAAAGATTCTCGATAAACTGGGCCTAAAAGGTTATCAGGTAAGCAAAATGGCTCCATGGATCCATAATAAAAATTTGTAGTCCCTGAAATATAAGTCTCAAATCAATCAACATCATGATGCACCAAAGAACAAAGTCTGTATTATGCACCTAATTTGGTGAAATGTTCCAGCATCTGGCTTGATCATGTGCAGTAAAACCTAAGGTCTTATGTATCCTTATTAGCCCTACTATGAAGCTGCAGGTCACGTATTAACTAATGGCTAATCTATTACTTGTTCAAGCACTGCCACTCTAGTAAGTCCTGATCCTGCATTCAAAGATGTCAGAACCTCCTTTTAATTTGTATGTATTGAAAGAGATCAATGAGTTCCATTCTTCATGAGACTCCACTAACCCTTTAAGTTCAAAATGATTAACTTAAAATGGCATTATGATTCAAGCTAAGCGATGAGTAAATGGAATTATGGAATTGTTCCGTAAAAGGCCAGATATCTAGTATTTAATTTCAGCATACAGACTGTCTATGCATTTAACCTTCTTTAGCTCACATTGATGTATTATGGCTAGTTTTTTATATTTATGTTGCTGAAATGTTCATGGTTTAAAAGATGATTTTTGTTGGGATTGCAAAACTTTATTCGTTCTTTGGTCATCTTGTTTACTTCCCCTGCGGAATCAGAATCCTTATCTTTCAATATAGGCTCATGGTGTCTGTCTTGTTACTTCCTATTAATAGATCTAAGGGCACAAAATACCATCACATGGTTTTTCTCTCACAGATAGGGAAGAACAAGGTGTTCCTGAGAGCTGGGCAGATGGCAGAACTTGATGCAAGAAGATCTGAAGTTCTTGGAAGAGCGGCCAAAACTATTCAAAGACAAATTCGTACACATATTGCTCGCAAGGAATTCCTTCGGCTACGCAGTGCTGCTATAAATTTGCAGTCTTTTTGGAGAGGTAATGAATCTTCTGCAAGGTGAACTTGTATTAATACAACTGGTACTTTATTGGTTTTATTTATGCACATGTCCTTTTTGAGAGATGCTTTATTGAACCATCTGTGCATAAATTCTACCAGAATTAAGGCATGTAATTTGACATATTGAGCCGGCTTGCTTCATTTTTGCAGCTGAACTTGCTCGTAAATTGTATGAATGCATGAGACAAGAGGCAGCTGCCATAAAAATTCAGAAGAATCTGCGGCGATATATTGCCAGGAAATCCTACAAAAGACTTCGTTATTCTGCAATTATGCTGCAAACAGGCTTAAGGGCAATGAATGCTCGCGATGCATTTAGATACAGAAAGCAAACTAAAACGGCAATAATTATCCAGGTACAGTTTTTTCATGGAGATGTGAGGGAATGAATGATTATTTGTATAATGTTGCCCCTTGTCTATAGCTAGTGAAAATCTGATGTTGTGTTCACTGCCCGCTGTTTTTCCTATATTTGGTTTACAGGCCAAATGGAAATCTCACAGAGATTATGTGTACTACAAAAATCTGAAGAAGGCAACCATAACCTATCAATGTGCATGGAGACAACGACTGGCGAGGAGAGAACTCAGAAAGCTGAAGATGGTTTCTTCTCATACTCATCAAACTGCCACATCAATCTTCTTAGCTTGCAAATTGAATCTGTTTTATTTCAACGTCATATTATCTGCATTTCTTGTGATGTGTGATTAGTTTATATTTCCTGGAATCATTTGTAGGCTGCAAGAGAGACTGGTGCCCTTAAAGAGGCAAAAGACAAACTGGAAAAACGTGTGGAGGAATTAACATGGCGTCTACAATTAGAAAAGAGACTAAGAGTAACTTATTTTGTGATGGGATTCTATTTCATTTTTTTCCTTGAAAATCTAAATTAGATTTTGTGTTGGAATCTGTACATTAGCTACTCTAAAAATCTGAAGATATATAAAGATATTTTTCTCCTACTGCTTATGTTTTTTTGGGCATTGGGCATGCAGATTGATCTAGAAGAAGCAAAAGCCCAAGAAATTTCTAAGCTGCAGGATGCTTTGCATGAGATGCAGCAACAAGTAGAAGAAGCGAATTCCATGATTATCAAGGAAAGAGAGGCTTCTCGAAAGGCCATTGAAGAAGCGCCACCAGTTATTAAGGAAACCCCTGTTATAGTTCAAGATGTAGAAAAGATTAGTTCATTGACAGCTGAAGTTGAGCACTTTAAGGTAACCCAAAACTTCACCTGATAGTACTGTAAGAGCTTTAGGGTTCTTAGTGATATTCTACTACAATGAATTTCAAGTATTACACCATTTGAATGAGCAAAAAACCAAGATTATATAAGCTTAGTTACAGAGCATCAGGTGTATATATCATCATCTCTTGCCTTCCGTGGGCTATTGTTACCAATTGATTGTGTCCAATATGGTATTTTATATTCATTTCCTTGTGCTCTGACATTGTTATGACAGATGATTTATAGATGCTCGTCCTTGAAAGCCTTTAAAAAAATAGGATAAATCAAATTCCACTATCTTGACTCTGCAAACCACAACCACTCTGCGAATCCTTGTGATTTAGAATGTTGCATGTACAATGCTCATGAAACTATTCAACTTGTTTCTATGGTATCCAAATTTAATGTATCACTCTATCATAATTACGTAGAAATCTACAGTTGATTAATCTTTGGCTAGGATTAGAGTAAATGTTACCATGAATTTGGTTTAACAATACCTTTGAATATTGGTAATATGATTATAAAACCAACTGAAACTTGGACAATGGATTTGTCTTGCATGGATTCCTTTGGTCTAATATGTGACAATCTTCTCTTGGTTGGTCTTGTTGTAAGACATTCTAATGTGGTGTGCTCACAAACATTTTTGTTTGCTTTTGTTGTGCACTAGGCTTTGCTGGTCTCTGAGCAGCACACAAGTGATGCAGCCAAAAAAGCTGCAGCTGAAGCTCAAAATAGAAATGTTGAGCTCTTGAAAAAACTTGAAGATGCCAATACCAAAGTTGATCAACTTCAAGATTCTTCGCAAAGGTAATTTTGTTGACCTAAAATGATGAAATAGTTCATGTTTATTTTTATTAAATCAATATGATGCAAACAATTGAGCGCCTTGTTGACTAGTTAAACATTCCATTGTTACTAATGAACTAGTGAAATCATTTTAAATCATCTAACTTACTTTTTACTGCATTATTTAAGATAGAAACCGCCTTTTACTGTTTTCAGGCTGGAAGAGAAGCTCTCCAATCTTGAATCTGAGAACCAAGTACTTCGCCAACAGGCACTTACAATTTCACCCACAGGCAGATCTTTGTCTGCACGCTCAAGAACAATGATCATCCCAGTATTCTTCTGAAATTCCTGTTTCTTTCTCAATATATTTTATTTTCAGTCTGTCTTCTTAGTCTCTTATTTATATGCTAACAGAGAACTCCAGAGAATGGAAATTTATTTAATGGTGAAACAAAATTAGCATTGGTGAGTGCAAACGTATTGGCTTTGCTGTGCACCTCCGAAATCATTTACTTAAGGCGGATTAAGAAGCTGTGCACAATTTTGTTATAGGATATGACTCCGGCTGTAGGCAATGCCAAAGAACCTGAAAGCGAAGAGAAGCCCCAAAAATCTCTGAATGAGAAGCAACAGGTTTGTTTTTGACTTCTTTTTTTTTTTTCTGTTCTTCGAAGACGTGATTTTTTTACTGGATTTTTTTCACTGTTCCACTATTTACATGTTGTTAGATATCAATTCCTGACCACTACAACTTACATGGTACAGGAATATCAGGACTTACTGATTAGGTGTATCACGCAAGATCTTGGATTCTCTAGTGGAAAGCCTATTGCTGCCTGTCTTATATATAAGTGCCTTCTGCAGTGGAGATCATTTGAAGTTGAGAGAACAACTATTTTTGACAGGATTATCCAAAATATAAGCTCTGCCGTGGAGGTAACGTTTACCTTCAGCAAATAGCAAACTTGATATGGCTGTTTGACCGGTGTACTTGCCAACATTTTACCGGACGGTCCGTTGCTTCTTATTTTCACAGGGACAAGACAACAACGACATTCTTTGTTACTGGTTATCAAACTGTTCAACATTGTTGTTACTTCTTCAACGAACACTAAAAGCTAGTGGTGCTGCAAGCCTTACACCACAGAGGAGGAGAACGCCATCATCTTCTTTGTTTGGAAGAATGTCTCATGTAAGAAAGTAATCCTCATACTATACATATGCTCTCCTTGGACTCAAGCATTTGTCTGTTTCTTTCTTTTGATGTTATTTTGCATCAGCTTTTTGTTATGTGTTTTGCTTTTCAATCATCTACAGGGACTCCGAGCTTCTCCACAGACTACTGGGCTTCCTTTCTTTAATGGAAGGATGGTTAATGGGCTTGATTTGCGTCAAGTAGAAGCAAAATACCCAGCTTTGCTCTTTAAGCAACAGCTGACAGCTTTCTTGGAGAAAATCTATGGAATGATAAGAGATAACTTGAAGAAGGAAATATCACCATTGCTTGGCTTGTGTATTCAGGTTTAGTATTCAATTCGTATTTGTGCATTTTACTTGCAATTAAATAATTGTAGTGCCTGAAAATTGGTATGTATCATCAAGTAGAGTTTGTCCCAGCAAATCTAGCTATTTTCCTCCAACTGGGATCAATTTAAGACCATTTATGTTTACCCGTATCATACAGGCACCAAGAACATCCAGGGCAAGTTTAGTGAAAGGATCACGATCTCAAGCAAATGCCATGGCTCAGCAAGCTCTGATTGCACACTGGCGAAGCATCGTCAAAAGCTTGGATAGCTATTTGAAAGCATTGAAAGCAAATTATGTGAGTTTATATCAGTGAATCATGCAAAACACTCTACTACTGCTCAATGAACTTATGAAATGTTGCTCTGCCTCTACAGGTTCCTCCATTTCTAGTCCGTAAGGTGTTCATTCAGACATTTTCATTCATCAATGTGCAGTTATTCAACAGGTATGATTGTTTTCCTCCTGTTTTTTTTTTATGCTTTTTCTTTTTTTCAATGGCACTTACAGAATATTCTAATTATGGTTTTCTCTTCCTTAGCCTTCTTCTCCGGAGAGAATGTTGCTCATTTAGCAACGGCGAATATGTAAAAGCAGGACTAGCTGAGCTAGAACAGTGGTGTTATGCTGCAACCGAAGAGGTGAATATCAGTTCTGGATCAGTTCTTTCATGGTGTTCTTTGCTTAATATCTCGTTCATGCAGTATGCAGGTTCAGCCTGGGATGAATTGAAGCATATCAGGCAGGCAGTTGGGTTTTTGGTATGCTGAGTTTCTGTTTGCTAAAAATATTGATTTATATCTCAAACATTCTACCTTATCCATCTCTGCTCAACCATCTAGGTAATACATCAGAAGCCAAAGAAGACATTGAAAGAGATAACCAATGACCTTTGCCCAGTAGGTGTCCCATTTAGTTCTCTTGCTGAAACTAAAGATAAATGCTTCACATATTGAAGACTTACTAATGTTTTTCTGTAATTACAATCAGGTACTAAGCATACAACAATTGTATAGAATCAGTACTATGTACTGGGATGACAAGTATGGCACACACAGTGTGTCTTCAGAGGTAATTTATTCAACTTAGGTTTCGTTTGGGACAGCTTTTTTACTGCTTCTTAAAATAGCTTTTTAGTACAAAAATTTTAATTTTTGTATAAAAAAGTCACTGGTTTGTGCTGGATGTTATGTTTCGATACTTTTAGGTGATTTCAAGTATGCGGGTTTTAATGACCGAAGACTCGAACAATTCAGTTAGCAGTTCCTTCTTGCTGGATGATGATTCCAGGTAAGAAATCCTATATCTTTCTCAATAGCAGATTTGGCTACATTACAAGAATTTATCTTTTTTTTTTTTCTTATTATTATTATTATTCACTTTGATGAAGCATTCCATTCTCTGTGGATGATATCTCCAAATCCATGGAACAAATTGACACTTCGGATGTTGACCCGCCACCAATGATTCGTGAGAACTCAGGGTTTTCTTTCCTGCTCCAAAGGGCCGAATGAATGGAGTTCTTCTGCAAGTTCTGTTTCTCTGCAACTCCTCCACAACTTGTCTATAAGTCTCCCCTTTTCCTTCTATGTAATTATCAACCATTCTATTCTATGAAGTTGGCTCCTCATATGAGATTCATAGGGTATTTTTTTCCTCCTCCTTTTTGGTTTCCCCTTAGTGTTTTGATTGTTTGATTAATTGATTTTTTTTACCCCTTATTCTAGAGTGTTCTATTTATGACCTAGGTTTTAATTGTAAACCTGGTCTTGGTCTTGCTATAGTGGTAAAGGCTTCTATAATTGTAATATTGTTTGGTTTTGAACATCTTTTGTATAAAGGTAATGATAAGCATTAATATTAGTGACATCTTTTTAAACCTGCTACTATTCTCTAATTTTATTTAATGTGTATTTTATGTGTGGTAAAATTTAGAATAATATTTTTTGATGTGGATATTGATGTGTTCATGAAAGTTTCTTCAAATTGTTTTGATCTGTATTTCTTTCTAGTTTTATGATCTCTCCTGTGGATTATATATTTGGTTGTTCTAGAATGTTCTCATCTTTTATGATTTAGATTTTGGTTGGGATAGTTTTTTTATTACTTTTTGAAGCAATTTTTTTTTAAAAAAATTTAATTTATCCATACTATTACAATGTAAGAATTATGCTGCAATTATGAGATTATATATTAGTATTAGATCCTTGGAGCATACATAGTATTTAACAATATGAAATATAGATTTTTTTTTTAATTAAACAATAAAATCAAGCTTTTATCCCATTGTGGGATTGGCTATATGAATCATTTTTTTCCATTGTCTTTTCATTAAGAGTTAAATTTTTATTTAAATCTAATAAAAATTAGCATGTCTAATTGCTTTTGGCATCCTTTTTAGGTTTAATAAATTTCGAGCTCATCCGCTTAATAAAAAAATAGAAATTTAACTAAAATAGATAATTAATATATGATGGAATTAAATTTAAAATTTTAGCAAAAATTAATTATAGACAAATTGCTTTATGTTGATCATTTCTATGAGCTCTTATTTCTATTAAAATGATCAAAATGAAGTACAAAATATTAAAAAAAATTATTTCATTGAATTTGTAAAGGTAAAATAAAAAAATGCAGGTATAATTTTTAGAAAAATGTTAAGCATGTTTTTTAACAGTTGTGAATATTATAATTCTTCTCATATTGAAATTTAGTCATCTGAATAAGTCAAAAGTATTATTTTTACACTTTTTTTTTTAATTTTTTTTTTTAGCAAATCAAACAAATGAGCTATTTGATTCGAATACAATGCCGTGTAAAACAATCCAAATGCAAAGTTTTTTAAAAATTGGTGTTTTATTGAAATATGAAGTGGAGTAAAATAAAGTAAATATAGTTCAAATTATTTTAATTCATTTTTAAAGTAAATCAAACTCATCCAATTTTGAACAAGAATAGTTTACACTATTAAAAATTATTGCTTGATCGCCACCACCCAACGCCTGCAACCAATGACCACCACTTGCCAGTGGCCAGCCAGCACCACCAATGGCTGCTATCCTCTTCCACCCACCACCACCGACTTTATACTACATTCATTACTTCAACCAACCAAAGAGCTTCTTAATTTTTTTCTAACCTTTCACCCTTAAAAAAAATCTTATCAATTTACACTCCATGCATATTCTTATACTACTAAATCATTTGCCTGATTTATATGATATAAATAATAAACATATTCACAAATGCTAGAGTTAAAAATAAAAAATATATATATATTCACAAATGCTATTCTTAAAACTAGACATTAAAAAAAAAATAATGTAAGGGTTTACAGTCCTTTCGAGCCTAGTAGAAAAATTAATATTAATGCTTTAGTTTCAGATTTGCCTCCTGAACAAAATTTTGAAAATCAAATCAAACTGATCAGTTCTGGATGGATTAAGAACCAGAACCTTGTTTACTTTTATGCAAAATTGGCATAAAAAAGAATGTGGGAAAGCTATTCTATTTGAAGACATAAGCAATTGCATGCGCCATGATCATTACAAAGAGTAAAAGTTCATCATGTAACGATCAAGTTCAGATAAATCACAGGCCATTTTCACTGTTCAATTAAAACTATTTTACGTCGCCGGCGCCACCTCTCGATCGGTAGGACGGGCTTAAGAAAGTGGTTAAATTGCTTCCATTGTAAACTCGAGGAATCAAGAAAGCGGCGACTCTCCAAATACAGAGATGAAGCTGTGTACAACTTCTCAGACTCCATGTTGATGGGAGCTTCATGCATTGATTGAAATCATTATAATATGATTGTTACATTACAGTGATTTGCTACAGCCTCTAAAAAAGCTGTGCAGAAAAAATAATGAATGCGATCCCTCTACCCAACCTAAAATTTTCACAGTTATATAGAAGAAATTAGAGGAGAAGTTGAGCAGCATAACTTTCAACCATGAAGAAGCAGAAAAAAAAAACTAGAACAGTAACCTCTTACCATTTTTTGTGCTGAACTATGAATTTCTTCAGAGATTTCAACCGAGCTAGAGAAATATTACAGCTATTGTGATGGAGATTGCAACAGTGCAGATCAGTGCCTGCATAAGAAAAAGTTTTGAGTGATTTGGTTAGTTACAAATAAAAGACAATGTAAATTAAACTCTTACAAAGTAAACACTGCAGTTTATTAATGAAAAATAATAATTATGTAAAGTAAATTTGCTTCACAATCTTTTGATTAAGTATTTTGCATGTAAAATTTTTACATTGTATTTGAATCAAACCAAAAAGGCCCTAATGATTTGCCATTAATAGCTGATTCTTTCACCCAAGTTCAAGGCACAAATAAAAAGAGGAGGAAAGTTCTCAACTCACTTGAATTGCACATATTTGCTGTATGACCTAAAGAGAAAATCAATGGGTTTTTAAAATTAAAAAATGGTTTGTTTGATTTACATTTTTTTGCTGTTTTTGTCTTTTATTTTTGAAAATAGATCAAATTATTTTTTGTAATGTAATACTCAAAACATTTTTTATATATTGTTTTCATTTTATTTTAAATGAAAACCATCCTAGCCATTGTTCATTGTTGCAGACAACTTGTCATCATTGTCACCTGCCACTAGAGGTGTCAATATTTGACATGACACAAAAACCCAACTCAGAAAATTCGGGTTGGACCCGACCCGATTTCAAAACAGGTCGGGTTCGGGTTCCCGGATTCGACTCGTTTGAAAAACAAGTCTGGTTCGGGACCTTCGGGTTGACAACCCGCAAACTCGTTTAAGTTGAAATTGCGGGATCCATTTATCTACCCAGGTCAGGTTAGGGTCGACCTGTTTGAACCCAGGTCAGTTCTGAGTTCGACCCAAACCCGACCCGTGACCCGAAATTGACACCCATTAGCAGCCATCAATTTCTTACAAGATACTTAGGCTTCCTTTGGGACAACTTTTTTACTGCTTCTTAAAGCATCTTTCTAATAAAAAAATTTAAAACTTTATACTAAAAAACTGTTTTAAAAAGTAATAAGAAAGCCGTCCCAAACAAAGCATTAATAAAACTTAAAAAAAAACACTTATTTAGTGACCTTCTGGGATTATATTTAACTTGTTTTTTTTTTAGTTTTGACATGAAACAAAACATATTTAGTATCTTAGAAACATGTTATTTTTGTTTTTATTAAATATCAAATAAGTTGAATCATTCATTGGTGGTGGCCATTGTCAGTAGGTTAGCAACAATGTCCCACAGCTACGGTGTAGACAGTGGTCAAAGTAGCCATTGGAGAGAGCAGCTGAAGGTGATAATTATTTTTAAGAACACTAAAAAATCTTTAAAGTATTTGAGTATGTTTGAAATAAACTTTGTTTTTTTTTAGAATTAAAATATTTAAAAATATATTAATTAAACTTATTTCTAAAAAACAAAAAAAATTTAAGTCTAAGACAAATCTCTTTCCTCAAACAAGGATTTGTACATACACATAAAGAGTATTCACGGTTGAAACTAGTCTCTGCCCATGGTATATTTGTACATAGACATGCAGTAATGAAAATTCTTTATATGATTTTTTTGTCCCTAAATAATCTCTAGACCCAAGGACAGAGCAAAAGAAAAGGGTAAGACCATCTCCAACCAAACTACATACCATCATACCATCGTATGCCGTCCGCCATTTGCTCCGTTCAAACTCCAAATCGCACGCCAAATTCCAATAGGTGAACAATGCGATGCCAATATTGGCGTTGGATTGTTCACCTACGGCAAAAAACTCGTTGCGGAATTTGCCGTGGGATTTGCCGAAGAAGCACGCGAAAGAGGAGAAAAGTGCGCCAAAGATGGTTACCTTCGCAAGAAGCGCGCGAAAGAAGAAGAAATGATGTTTGATTGGAGAAAAATGACTGCATTTTGGAGTGGATAATGGGTTTTTCGGTTGGAGATGCCCTAATAGATATCTAAAAGAAAACACTGGAATATATAGGCATCATGTCAAAGCCCAGAGCTGGAAAATTAAAGGAATAACAACTTACAGCGAAGGCACAAGCAACAAGACCATCTCGCTCCCTTGGATCTCTGTTATAGTATTTGCAGAAGTAGAGAACTGTTGCAATGTACCATAGCAACGGGCACAAGCATCCCAACAGTAATCTGCATCATGACCTGGTATTATAAACTGAGGAAGAAGAAAATTGAGGTTAGATACAATGTAATTGTCCACTCACGAACACCATCCTATTCCACAGCCATAACATGGTAGAGGTTTGTGAAATTTCAGCACTCTTGGGTCTTCTTCATCATGTATCAGAGTATATTTACCCCTACAATCTTTACAGTCACAATACTCACCTGAAACAATTTATGAGAATCAGATGAAATTCTCAATTGGGGAGCTATAAAACTATAATGTCTGTGATAGGAAGTGGATGCACTTTTCCTCGAAATCAACGAACAACAATAAGAAATTAGAAAGAAAAGTACAACAAAACTATTTTTATTACAAAATATATGAAAGAAAATAACAATATACAGTTGGATCTTCAATTCGAGAGGAAGATCCGGCTCTCCCAAATCCCTAGCTTCCGGCTAGAGCCCAAATAACCTAAGAAATTCTAATTTCAGCAAACTCCAACATAATCCTGAAATCATCCTATTGTTAGCCTTAAATAGGCTCTCATAATTCCCTCCCAAATCAGCTCCCTCTTCCTAAATAATTCTCTCTCAAATTTGAATTCAAATTAGATTTATTTCCCCAATTAATTCCCTCGCAATTATAATTAAACTTTCCTAATTAATCCCTCTTAATTCCTCCTCTTCCTTAAATAATTATCTCTTAAATTTTAAATTCAAATTAGATCTCTTGCCCTAAATAATTCCTTTCCAATTGTAATTAAAACACTCATAAATAATTCTCCTTTGATTAAGAACCATCCTAAATAGTTCCCTCTTAGTTAAGAAATTTCCTAATTCCCTCCCAATCAAATCGGCCGGTCTATCAGTCTGCTAGGTAGAAGTATGCATGCACTAGTAATCAATTACTAACATCTCCAGAATAAAGTTTTAGCAAGTTGGAGTGAAATTTAATATAATTAATAGCATGTCATTGTATAAATAAGATATCCAAATCTTTGGTTTGCATATAAACAATAATCACAATCAAGCCAAAAATTTGCATTTTGCCAGGTATTTCTATTAATAACTATTCAAATAGAATTGAACTTTATAAAAGCTACCTTTATTGTGAAATGGAATTGGAAAGTAATTTGAGGGATGATTAATAAGAAAAACTTGTAAGCAGATTCTCATCTGCATCTATATTCAAAGTGATGGCCACTGGGATCAAATTTTGCTGCAAATGCAGCACTGCTCTGTATCAAATTTCATGTGAACTGTTAACTGAGGTCTGGCCTAGCTATAAACCTTTCACTTAGCAATGTAGTCAACAAAGAAACATCTGTTATCTTTACATAGAAAACAAATCATCAAAGATAAAACCACCTAAAGCAATTTCCTTCACTGCTGAGCATTCTTTAAGAGTGCGATCTGGTGGTGTCCCAAAACCAAATAACTAAATCCCATTGCTGATGACCTGCATAGCCTGCAACAATATGAATTATGAACATATAACTACTTTTGCAGGTTTCTCCAATTTTGAGGCCACTTATTGTTACAAGATCAATTTGTAACTCTGGAGGTGCTGAAATTTTTACCATTCAATGTGGAATATTCATCCAAATAAAAGGGAAAATATTTTTTTTAGAAAATATAGGCTAAAAACACTAGTGATGATCAACCTTTCCGGCATCACATGAGGTAAATACTGATAACACCTTTATTTAAGCCCAAAAAAATATCTAATCATCGCTGTCTAAGAAAAGTATAGGCAGCATGATCATTTTATTCCAGCGAGATGCTTGATTAAACAAAAATAGCATTTAGTTATTTTATTTTTTCAAAGACTGCGTGAATCTTCATGCATAAAGCTGCTGCCACCGACAAATAATGGAAGAATCTAACATAATACAAAATATGGTTAGACTATGGAACACCTTCTGTCTCTTATCCTTGCTCTTTTTTCTTTCTCATGCAAATCACTAATTCTAGTCTTCTGTCTCTCTACAGAAGAAGACCTTTTATGGTAAATAAAAAGCTAGTGTTAGTTTCATAATGTAAGGTTTCAAGACTTGCCAAAAAATTGCAGAGTTTAGACTTTGCAACAGCCATCAAAACTGACAAAGGGGCTATTCCAACCAAAAACTGCCCTGAAGAGATTTTGATCTAGACCCAAAGTTGTAAGAATCTATGACTTCAAAATCAAATATGATGCATTGTAAGACATGCAACAAAATTATTTTAAATTATTTATTGATTGTTGATCTCCTTTTTTTGGCATCGATCACCTCTCTGTATATTGCACTGTTGTGTCTGATGAAGGATCAAATTGTGCATCTTATCTTAATTCGTCGTCGCCTTTGAAGTTTATTTCCTTTGATCATGTATAATCATTTTCTGATCTTCCACTGAATAGGTCAATTCAAAAAAAGAGAGTGGTTCACTCACTTGGGACAAAAGCAACCGCGAGCCTCCTATTTACAGGGAGAAAAAGACAAAATACCTATGTCATTTCTGACAAAAAAAAGGGCAAGCCTAAAGTACAGCTCTCGGTTTTCTAGAAGCATCTCTCCACACCTCTATTCGGATAAGGGCACCATTCCACGATGCTTTCTCTGAGATACACACCTCCAACTCTCGAAATAGGAGAATCTCTCCATCTCTCCATTCGGCCCAAGGTGAAGCAAGGGAGAGGCCGGTTCACCCATACAGAGGATTCACGTACAGATCACGCTTCCTCTTCCTCCTAGATTTCATGCAAGGGCCTCCAGCCGCTGGCTAGCTCGCCGGTCAGCCCGTCGACCACCTTTCAAGCTCCGACTGGCTAGGATCTCTACCTGCAACTCCTGCCAATCACAACTCCTGCTCAAGTCAACGCTGATCCGACCATAGCATGCCTCATACCCTATCTTGTCGAGCCCGGGACGTAGTATCGCAGGTTTCTAGCTCCGGTCATCGACCCCACCACCTCACACCAACCAAACCGAAGAGCCATCCCGCAAGGATTATCACACAAGGAAGACCCAATCCCTCATCCTCGCCTTCACGCATGAGCAGCTGTCTGACTTGCCTTAGACCACCCTCCAGCCGACTCCAGCCATTCGCTCCGTCTGGCCACCTCTCCTATCTGACCACGACCACCAATCTGCCGCCAATGCTAGACCCGACCTTCAGGCCGGCTCTCACGACTCTAACCTCCGACCTCGCCCGATCAGCATCTCCGACTTGACCTCACCGAGCCGCTGGTTCTCCTACAGTCGTCGCATGCCCTTTTGCTACCGGTTCTCTCAGACCATTCCTCCGTCTAATAGCCCACAAAACAGCCCCCCCTAGTGGCTGATCAACCTCTTGCTTCTGACCCTTGGTCAATTCGCCGGCCTTCATGAACTGTTATAAGTATATGACTAAAAATAATTACCTGTAATTGTGTTTTTTTTTTATATATATAGTAAACTCTCTTATATATTTCACTTTATGTTATTCATTTAAGGGCTAAGATATCTACACTGATAAAGTATAAAAATTCTTATTCGCTTCTATTTCACTGATGTTAGATGTTTCAACATTTGCTGTGTAAACAATTGTTCATAAGTTGCTTGGTTTCTTTTTTTAGTTCCCTGTTTCGTTATTCTATGATGCTATTCATGAATTGTTTGATTTTGGATTAAGGTGGGTTTAAGTTTGGTGGTTGATGAATATTTTATATATACAACGTTTTCATTTTTAGAATATAGTGTGCTTGATCATCATCATTGTACTTAACAAAATGATGTTATTTAGCTTGATAAATGATGATTATGATTTTACTAGTTTCCACTTGTTTTGTTTGTTAGGTAGCATGACCTTGTGGATGTTCAGATGTCATCAAAATAAAAGTTAAATGCTATTTAAACAGTTGTTTATTGAAATGTATTAAACTTGCAAATGAGAACATAATATTGCATAGGGGATGCTGTTGCTAAAAGAATAGTTGTTTATTAGTTATTTGAAATTGTGACTTATGACCCTCAAGCTATGTTCATGTTCTCCTGGAGCTATCTGATTCAACAAGGCTTCAATATCTAATGGCAATTTCACTTGTATGTTTAGCTTAATAATCAAATGTGCATTAAATAAATATAGATAACAGAGTGTAAAAAAATTTGTGCGACGCTTAATTTTATTATGATTTCCCCTTCCGTAACTACGAATGTGAGCTTTCCTGAAACAATCATTTTGTCTGGATCAAAATTCTCGAGGGAATGGCTTAAATTGAATTTTCTAGTAAAAATGTTTGAATTAAATTTGCTTATGGGAATGAAAGTAGTAATTAATTCTCATCCATTTTATATTGAAAATTTGCTAAAAGCAAGTCAATACCTATTTTCTGTATTTTCTTTTCTTAAGAAATAGATAGAGGCAGACGAAGTGTTTGTATTAAACTATTAATGTTTTGTAAAAGATGTTTGAAAGGCAATGGAGGCAAGTTTACAATCACAAATAGAGAGATTCTTCATTGTAAGGCATAATTCTTCTCTAGTTTATTTCAATAAATGTATTTAACTGTAAAATCTTGTTAATGCTCTATCAACATGAACACTTCGATGACAATGCATTAGTCAAGCTTAATTTCATAAAGTAAAGAAGTATTGTTGAAATAATGTCAAAGCTTGATTTCCTTACAAGCTAATTGATTCTCTTCATTAATATACGCTCATATATTCATTTTCTGAGTTCCCACTTCCCAAATAGGTATACTTGATGCTAGACTTCTCAGATAGCATGCATAGAATAGACTTGTAGATTCAAATTACTTTACTAACCACCATATAGATAATTATACATTACTCTTTTACATGTAATTAATGTTTAGTCAAAATCTAAAAAAAAAGTATTTTTGGCATGCAATCACTAACTAATTTCTTTCTATAATTATATTTTAGAGAATGTAATTCTAATGACATAGGATAGCTATTGCATGTTTATGTATTAATTAAGTTTGCTTGTTTGCAATGGGAATGAACACCAATCGTTAGTATAAATGGATAAAATCATTACTTGTAAAGAAGTTAATTGCCCAAATTCTAACAAATACTCTTTTGTATTTTAATAGTCATGTGTTGAATATACATAGGGTCTTTACCATAAATTTGTTAGCAAATATTATTATGTTTAATGAATTTTTATTAAAATTAAGATGGTTACATGTCTTTTAGTTTCTCATGCCATGTTTATGTATATAATCGTTCTCAAATGCT